ATGGAAAATGGTCCAGACAGAGTTCACAGCTACAGGTCTGCTCTGAAAGTGGTATGTGCTGGAGACTACTCTATGGTGCTGCCCATTGTCCTCAGTTTATGGCCCGTACTGTGGACTTATCGACCTAATATCACAGCTGATGAGTGCCATCTCCAGTCTAGACGCTACTCTCTCGCTCGCTGCTCCTCTTATAGTGAGACTATAGATAGCCCGGCGGACACTGATGTCTGGAGCATTGTGTCTACGTGCGCCAACCACTTTGGCGATACTTTCGTCCGCCTCTGGTTCAAATTTAGAACATTGCTACATATTTAAGGAGCCAATGACCAAGACACGTATGGTACCTGAACTTTTCTAATATCGTGGCACTCAGAAAAAGTATACTTTTTTAAACACAATGTTAAGTCTCTAACTATTATTTGACAATGATGAATTGTGTAAAAACCCTCGACTACTCCCATTTTACATCATTGTCTTCATGGAGTCTTAACACCTTGTACAATGAAATGAAATAAAATGAAATGAAACAATCGTAGAGACAATGAACCCTTAACCAGTAGACCTAAATTTTACTGACCTTATTCACGTTTCCTGATTATTTATAGAACGGCGAGAAAGGGGTTGGAATAGTCTTAAAACCAAACGTGATTATTATACTGTAATACATTTTGTTAAACAATCCACCAAAGTACTGTAAAGCATTAGGTGACCATATTGTCTTATGTATCGATGGAAAAGGCCCACTTTAAACTATACAATTAGAATATTTTGAGATATATATATATTTTGTTTTTTGCAATTTCAAAAAGTAATTGCAAAACTTTTGTGTAAAAAAACAAATCAGTTTTATCATTACAAACAATAGAGGCCTACATAGTTTAACTAACGCTCGAGCAATTTTATTACCATAAATAGACAGAGCGTCTACACATTCTTCCAAAAGCTTTGAAGTGGTGATAGGAAAACTAATTGATACAACTGGAAACAGAGACATAAAAAAGAATGAGTTTTGGCTCCTGGTTCGATCTCCTCATTAAGAGGTGTCTGTCTGACGGCGCACCACGGCGGAGGCGGCTATTTCAGGGCACCCATGGGGGGCGGAAGTCTAGCTAACAATAACCGACTGTAGAGAGATCTGTAGGATGTTTTACCAATTACTTGTCACCTTCCAAACTGATACTTCCGTCTCTAATTCGGAACACCTTAAATATTTTGTTTGTTAAAGAACGTGCTTCCTGCTTCCGCGGAGACGGAAGATATGTCAATGTTTATACAGCATGAAATTGTACGGTTAAACCGGCCATTAGTTGTGGAGTCATCCAGGCAGGCCCTGTACACTGAACAGAGGGTAAATGCGCGATGGAAATATGTGCTGCAGTGGAAAGTTGGAAGTCCCTATATAGTGATAGGTTGGTTATCTGAATGACTCAATTTGCAGCACCATGGATTGAGTGAGACTCGCTCATGTATTGTATCTGCAATGTAAAGCTTAAGGCCTACAATAAATTCCGAAACTTAAATTTTCAAAAGTTTGATTGTAGATAGTTTATTTCTTTATTTTGCGATGTTCTTTCTCATATGTCTTCAAAACTATTTATATTCCATACACATGAGGTTGTTTTATTCATAAATTGACCACTATGAAAAGTGTCCTATAGAGTTATCTACTGAAGCACACCATCACTAATGCTATTGTCTTCTATTGATGGATCCATTCGTCGATACTTCCCCAACAATGAGGACATGCTCTGTTGCTCCGCGGAGCCGAGATTGCACCGCCAGACTACAAAGGTGGTGATACATCACGAGTGTTTTACGGTGCGAGATGCTATTTTGACTTGACGCCGCGACGGTGCCTCAGTGACGCGTGGATCCTCACCGACATCCGACAGACGACAAGCGACATGGAGGATCACGACCTTTAGAGCAGGTCGCGGGGGGCGTGTCCAACAACCAAAACTACATGGCCACATCATTCATATTGCGCTCATCTGCCGGACTTGAACGAAATATCTCAAATTGCAACTGCTCTTTCTTGTGCCTTGTTGGGGTTTTTGAATCCCGTTGTTTCATACTAGCCTGCTAGTTAATTAACGCTAGATGTTAGGAGGTATTACTGTTCTAAAAAGTCCAGGAACACAGGAATTATTTTTAAATTCATCAGTTAAAAGCACCATTTATCATTTGGAAAATTGTGAAAAATCTATATATTCTAATCATACTTAGTCTAAAGATGTTATTTATGTAAATCGTAATGAACAACGATTCATATCTGTTCATATCTAGACGCGAAGAATAAACCTGTTATACGCGTATGAGCAGACGCAGCGATGATGAGGACCAGCACCAGTGGCGGCGGCGGTTTGCCGCGGAGCAATCTTCGGATGCTACCTAAGACCACCTTTTACTTTTACATACGATAATAATGTGTAATTTGTATGATTTTAAAATGTTCTGCGTAGCATCATTACGAAAATGTGATATTTAGTTAAGGCAACCATGTGAATGTGAAACCGTCTTTAACGCCATAACGGCGACTAACCGCACTTTGACGAGAACGTCCCGGACGGGAATTCAATACCTTTTCCATAAACATTTAGCAGACTTGTCCGTTTTCTAGCTAAATTCCATTTTTGAGGTTATGAAATTATATTTTGTACAAGAAAAGATATCATCTTTAAAAAAGGGGGTCATTTTACATGATGTACAGTTTGGAGGGTTGGCTAGTCAGCCCATTTATTAGTATATAACAATTAATATTAGTATGTAATAATTAATTCATTTTAAAGTAACATAATGTTATGCATTATTACTATAATTTATTAAGTAGCTTATAGTTAAACGTGTGCACCCATAACCTGTGTTGAGGAGTCTAATCGTTATTTATGTCTAAAACAATTTTGTTCTAAGAAATTAGTGAAGTACTGTAGTTTGTTTTTTACATTTTGAAGAATTCAAAAAAGTTACGATCTACAAACCCAGTCCCTATATAAAATTTATCCGTTAGGACAATATTTTCCTCAACTGGTATGTCTAAATAAATAGGCCATTCTTGTTTAATTTTCTATAAAGATATTTTATGATCGTTACTCCTATACTTGTTAGGTGGATACTGAAATGAAAAATGTTAATGGCCAGTTCAGATTTGTTGGAAATTTGCACTATGTTCATAAGATTCGCACTCAGATCAACAATCAATTTGTCGGCAATCCCGACTCCTCAAACAATGAAGTACAGTATTTTCAAAGCAGTTATGGCCTAACACATGGTTAAACACTATGGCCAAACACAAAAATTCAAACTTTTTAGAAGTCCGATTTCCTGAATAACAAGAAAAATGTGGATCAAGATTCGAGCTGCAGTAAAATTGCATGGGAAGTCTTAACTGTAGTGATATCTATCTACACACATTAACGTTCGTTATTTGGCTTGTCTTACTATATATTTGTTCCGTAATCGTTCAAATAAAAAAAACGAAACTTATGACACGAAATCTCCTTATCTGGAATATTAATTGAGTTGAAACTTGGCATGCATGATCCTCATATTTTCTAAGGAATATGGTTTTCACGATGCAAGCACCGAAGATATACCCTAGAAGAATTTAAGACCCCAATGTGATCCTAAAACTCCTTTCTGTAACTCTTGGAACACTAGAAAAATGAATAAGTAAATCCTATGAACGTAATTGATATTACGTTGTGAGTTGTGATATGTTAAATATAATTCAGGAGAGTGAAAAGAACATTTGACTTTTGATACTATGCCGAGAATAAGAAATAATTTCTATAACAAAATATGCCATTGACGGAATGTGCTGCTGAAAAATATTGCATTCTTACTCATACAGAAACTGTTTAGTCATGCCAAACTAAAACCACAGCTAATTGTTAATAATAATATATTTTCCCCAAACTTTAGCAAAAGTGGTTGTTTTTAATACATAGGCCTACATTGCGAGGATAAAGAAGCTATTTTTCTTCCTATGAAAACGCGAGCGCAAAGTGCCACTTCGCACACTAGTGCGATAAATAACCTTACACAAATAATCTTAATTGTCAGGCTATTATACAAATTTATTTGCGTTTATCATCGTGTTGTATCACACATTTCTGCAAATATACCCCTCGACTTTTAGACGAACTGAAATATCTATAAGATGATTGTATAAACAAATTAGGTATGGTTTTTTTATTGTATTGGCAGGGTTGGGGTAATACAAATTGCATAAAAATAACAAAAGCAACTAAAAGCTATTTTTATAGTCTAGTAGCTTTGAGTACTGTAGTAGCAAAACAAGAAGGAAAATATTTTAGGGGATTGTTTAGGTAAACAACGTAGGAAATTGACCTTTTGTGAACTATTTTGCTTTAAAAATTTGTTTATTATGGTGAGCTCTGACGAAAAACATACGTAGGCCTATACACATCGATCTCTATTACTACTAATTAAGTACTAATAGAGATCGATGCCTATACATAAGCAAAATGTGTTTTTCGACTGTCGCTCATTTTTCGACGTTGGTCCCGCCCAACGATCACAGGTCCTGCCCCGGTTGTTAAAAAGCTTGAACTCGTGTCGAAAAGTCACTTTAAGCTCTCGAGACGATATATACTATTTTGTCTTCATCAAAAATCATAATATGCATTTAATTTAGGCTATAAATATGTTTATATTGTACATGAATTAATATGAACTATGTAATAACGAACAGACAATTTATCAAATGCATTATTTTAAGTTGTCTATTAATTGCATCTAAATCACATTGTTATAAGATATAAATAGTTGGTTTACGGGGATCCTTACCTTAGGATGATTTTCTGATATTGCGCAACAATATCATACGTATTATTTTACACAAAATAACAACGATAAAATACGTTACGTCACGAAAATAATATGCAAATACAAAAAAATTAATTGACACATATTCTAATTTTCAAATGTAAAACATCTAGGAGAACTAAAAATGTAATTTAAATTTAAAAACAACTTACCTCGCTACGAAGACTATTGGTGATTAAGTTCAGCTGTCGCACACTATAATTGTTCAAAACACACTCACTAAATAACACGCGTCAGTACAAAACTTATGACTAGGTTCATCGACGTAGGACGTACGTCGGTCGGTGTGCCCGGGCTCGACGCTGGGCTCTGGGCGTCTCGGCGCTACCAGAACTGCTTATATCACCTCCGCCACCGTCGCGACACTATAAATACAACCCGGCAACAATCACGGCTCACCCTTGTATCATGATTGTCACTCCAGTGTGCGTAGCTTATCTGACAGAAATGGAGGAGCAACAGCGTGTGTCGAACCATTTTACTGAAATTGAAATGCCATTTATATGGACCAGTTGCCATTATTTTGATAAAATAAAACAGTTGATTGAGCTTTTCACACTGTGATACTGTGAAATTGTATTTCCTCCCTTAGGTTTAGATACTATGCTAGATGATGTAACGTAACAAGTGCTATATAGGCTACAATTAGATGTGTATTCAACAGGTATCAGTAAGTGAACGCAGCACTCTTTCGCTCAATGCAACGTTATTTTTAATTTAAAATATGAATACAGCTTAGCATGGAAATTGGATGTATATATATTTATACCAATACTCAACAACCAATGGTTGATCTATATTACCACATTAGAAAGTAAAAAAAAACAAACCCTAAATACCCACCTTGTATCCTCCTACCTGAAAGAATTCGATTTTTGTCCAGGCATCCAGTATTGCAAATTGCCTTCCAACTAAATAAAATCATGTTTTAATAGCCTGGGAAACGCGTTGGGATACGTTCATCGGTAAAATAAGACCTATCCTAGCACGCAGCGTTCCCATTACACATAGACTTCAAATTGGTTTCACACGGTTGTTGCCAATTTCAAATTTTAAATGAGCTTTGAAAATTTCATTAGTGTGGTTAAACTATTATTTATAGTGTGTCCTGCTATAAAAAGTGTCACCATAGTGCACACTGAAATAAAATATGTAATAGTAATTACTTACAGAAACGAATTATTTTAATAAATGCACTCACATTCAGTTTAAAATACGCATCCAACTGCCTTGCGTTATCCGATTAAAGTTATCACGCTACTGTATTAGGGTGGGCGAATGCCTATAACATCGTAGTCGTTACTTAGCATTATGCAGTATCTTGACGTACCTCCAAAATTGGGATTGAGCTTTACTCCCAACAATATACTAATGATATTTGTACGTAGTTGGTTATCTGTGTTTCAAACATGTACTACTTTCTAAAAATATGCACCCGATTACCCCATGAATAAACGTGCAAATTGAACATAAAGACTTTGAATCAAAAGGCCTAATCTGATGACGTCATAAATAAGAGCTTAATGTAATTTCGTATTAACTATTAGCTTTGTAGGTTTACTAGTATAAGTATAGTACGGAGACTGTTGCATTGCTTACGGTCATACATTAGTCAAATATTCTTAGATTTTTTCTCAGATTAAATATCAAAGTTTGGTAAATTAGTTACAAACTTACAAGCTCACACTTATTGAACCTTATTTGACCTTAGGTTGGATTTTACCTTGTGTGGGAGATGACATTTAAAATCTTTGCGGTCTTAACTTTGCGTTAACTAAAACGTCACATCTTGTACAACCAATGTGAAATCGTGTAGCTTTTTGGATAATAAGATCTTTGTGTTTTCCATAACTCTTGGTATAAACATAGTAATGATTATATGACAAAATCAGGATGTGAAGATTATGAAAAGAATAGTCAAATCTACGTATCTTGTCAGAACAATTCCAGCCAGAGAGATGTAGAAGACGAGATAGTAGGGAAGATAGGACACGTGGGGCTATATGTGGCCCACGCCGCCCCCAGCAGAGTAATCTAATGTCACCGGCTCACTCAATGCTTTCAGAAATTGGGTTTCATTTACTTTTATCCTACAATAAGTACCATTCTTCACAGTGATCACTATTGGAGGTGAACACAATCTAGTGGATCATTATGAACACTGTCAATACGTACATACTAGTACTTTGGGACCACAATTGTATTGAAAGTGAGAGGTTTTGCAAAATAATATGAAACGCTACTTTCATCAGTCTCATCCGGATACGCTTAGTTCGAAGCATACTTTAATATAAGGGTTTTGGGGAAATATAAGTTCAATGACATAAATTTGCATACAATACACGTAGGAGGTAATCCTCGAGGAAGTATGTTTTGCCCCACGTCGTAGGCATTACTTTCCTACTTTGACCCCCGTATGTCTGCAATGGAACCGTTGTTGATTCATACATTAGCAAATGAAAATACTGTGGGTGGATGATGAACGAGTTAAGTACAACAGACTACCAAAACAACAAATGTCCATATTTTTGGTTAAACTAATTATCGCCGTGAAAGCTTCCCAAGATAGTTCGGTAGCTGTGTTATCTCTGTAATCATTTGCGCCTCCCTTATTTTTTCCTCATAGCTGACAATGAAATCATCCATCCACGGTATGTTTGCTGAGGTCTGCATTAGCGACAGTATCGATACAGACACTCTGATATCACTGAAGGTAATTACTGAATAATATGTATAACATTATTTCTCAAGGAACACCTAGATATATTGAAACGTCTATAATTTTTAACCGACTTCCCCACTACCAACAACAAAAGGAGGAGGTTCTCAATTTGTTTGTGGCGATGTTTTTTTTTTCTATGTATGTTCACCAATTTCTCTGTGATTCTTTTACCGATCAGTGTGGTTCCACCACCAAAATAACCAGGAGAGTTTCTATTTGGTACCTTATATATTATGTTTAAGTATAATATTTGTTTCGGTGAAACATTCTGAAAACCTTAAATAGTCAACATTTATTTTGTTTACATTTGTGCAGATTGTTTACATTTGTGCAGAGAAGCCAATAAATAATAACATTCCTACAGCTGTTAGTTGAAACCATTTAAATGAAGCTACAGACAATTCTTCATGAAACAGTTGCTTCATATTGATCAATAAACTATTTCTTGCCATGGAGCCTAAATGAATTACATTGAGAAAAATGCATTTTGTTTTGGTTACTATAAAAAATGTATTTTAACGTTTGACCTGATTTGTGTATACAGTAATTCTGTTTTTAGTATAGAATATTCTGAATTACAAAAACATATATGTTTCAGTGAATAGCTGTATGATATTGACAAATAAAGGTGTATTGTGAAAACCCAAAGCATTCGTAAAACAGGTTGAAGTGCAAATAAAACTCATTATGAATTGACCTAAGGATAGTTTTTAATAAACTCTGAAGTCAAGTAAGATTTGTAACATACAGATACAAAATGTAAATAGTAAACAAAGATCAACTGTGAGACAATAAAGAAATTCATAAATTAAATAAGGAACAATAACAGTTCATATGTATAAAAATATTATCACATTCTTCCCACCCTAAAACGAGACGTAGTCTTTTAGATAGTTAGGTCTTTGCCGTATACGTTGTGGATGGGTTTTGGAAGGCACTGAACTTGAGTCTTTGCAAGAACTGTTTGCATGTTCAACTGGTACATTCGTGTCACTTAATGTCCCACTAGAATCATTTTCGTCTTGTTCTTGATCAAATGAAACCTCCGGTTCTTGAATAGCTTGTTCATTTCCATCTGTTTCTGGCAATTGGTAGTCTGTTTGATTGTCCAGGTGCTGGGGCCAGATCTCTTATGGATACTGTCTTCTCTTGTCCGTTTGGGAGTTTCACATGAGCATAACCTGGATTTGCTTGAATAAGTTCTACCTTCTAAACGCCAACGTAGTATCTTTTCATTCTTTATTTTTCCAAATCTTTTATTGTCAAACATGAAAGAAACTGATCTTTGGTCTGTAATGAGTAGGAATGGCCGGCCAATAAGATAGTGTCTCCACTTCTTAAGAGATTCTACAATTGCTTGAGCTTCTTTTTCAACAGAAGAATGGTTCTTTTCAGATTTTGATCATGTTTTCGAATAAAAAGCTACTGGACGTCCTGCTTGTGACAAGGTTGAGCCGATTGCAAACTCAGATGCATCGGTCTCAACTGTAAATGGTATGTCATTTTGGATTGGGGCTTTAGTTGCAGTTACTATTTGCAGATGTGGAATGTTTATTGATATTCTCTACCCAGTTACTATATCATATCAATACTATTATGTCTGCTTCGGAAAGTCCTAGAGGAAGATGATTTGCAATTTCGACTAGGCTATATCTTGATCAAACAAAACCACCTACATGGCTTGCACCACTTTTAGCTGAACCAATCTTTCATATACATATTTCATTTGCAGATGTGGAATGTTTATTGATATTCTATACCCAGTTACTATATCATATAAATACTATTATGCCTGCTTCGGAAAGTCCTAGAGGAAGATGATTTGCAATTTCGACTAGGCTATATCTTGATCAAACAAAACCACCTACATGGCTTGCACCACATTTAGCTGAACCAATCTTTCATATACATATTTCATTTGCAGATGTGGAATGTTTATTGATATTCTCTACCCAGTTACTATAACATATCAATACTATTATGCCTGCTTCGGAAAGTCCTAGAGGAAGATGATTTGCAATTTCGACTAGGCTATATCTTGAGCAAACGAACCCCCCTACATGACTTACACCACTTTTAGCTGAACCAATCTTTCATATAATATTTTCCAAAGGTACTATACGTGTTAACGACCAATTTTCCACTTTTGAGAGATTTTTTAGTGCTGGTGGCTGAGGAATAACTTTCATATTGTTCCAAAAGGCTTGAGACGTTAACTTACTGTGTTTCTTTTTATAATGTAGAAGTACACCGATTGCAGGAAACGATGATGTCTGACATTTCATTAGGCCTAATGTAAAGGACAGGGGAGCGAGCTGGCGTAGTGGTTAGAGTGCGGGACTTCAGTCCCTGAGGTCCCGGGTTCGATCCCCGCCAAGTCACCAATGGATTTTATCTAAGTGATAATGCCGCAACCCCTAGTTCCAGCCTGAAGTAATGTGAAAAACAATCCCAGGCTCGTGCCTAGCGTCCTTAGGACAAAAAAATGTAATGGACAACTCTTTCTTTCTTAAGGAATATCAAAAAATGTTTATTTTCATACCCATTGATTATGTAACCTGAACAGGTGACTCAAGCAGTTTTAAAATAATGAT